TGGGGAAATTACAGAAAATTAGACTGGGGTTTCAGAACTTCTGTAGGTGCTGCTGTTGGGGGAGAAAAACATCTTTATGGAGCTTGAGGAATTCTTTACCTTGGCAGCCTTAATGGGGCGAAGTTTGTTTTTCTATCTCATAAAAAGGAGACACGTTTATTTCTATTTCCAAGGCACCCACCTGCATTTTATCATGTATCTCCTAACAAGAGAAACTATAGTTATGGTGATACATGCTCTTAGTACTCACGGTTGTGAGACACTTTGCTATTCTATGCCCTTATTCTGATGAAGACTTCTCTGTACTTTCCATACGTCAACTCCCCAATTCTACTGGCCACACAAGCACTCCTCTCTAGGCTTCACAGGCCCTGCTGTCACTTCTCATATTAGCAGTAAGGCAAACCCGAGCCCATAAGCCCTCCAAGCATCTCCCAGGGGTGTCCAGTCTCTGATCCACTGGACTCTTGCAGTACTCTCAGATTTGTTGCTTCCAAAACAAAAAAAGTGCACCCAGCTTAACATTTCCACCTTGGAACTGTTATGCTACGTTTATAGTAAAGTCAAATATAAGTTTATTTAATGAAGCATAATATTCAAAGAGTAACAAATACAAGTTTTGGAAAAAATGGTTACGTGTAAAATAAAATAACATACCTTTTAGACCTCATTAATAAGATACTCTCGTGTCAAATCAGCATTGCTCTCCCCAGACCATTGCACCCTTTTTCAGCTGACCCTACTGAGACAAGAATGTTGTCAGCTGGCTTCTTTGGTGAATGGCGCAGTGTGTCTCTTCATACTCCAAGATATACCGGAACAATCTTTTGTTTATCCATACACAGGACACATACATCCAGCTTGTTTCCTTATTCCTGTTGTAGATTTTGAAGTCTTTTTTTTTTTGCCTGTGGTTCAGTATGTAAATAGGCTTTCATTATGAAATAATCTAATACACAAGTGGCCAGACTGGGACATAGGTGTCTATTGCCATCTGCTTGAAATGAACACTTCCAGGTTATGTCACTTCCTCGTGATCTGCCTTCCCTACAAGATCTTAAGAGCTTGATTTTCAGTATAGCTACAAAACTCCATAAATATTATCTATACGAAAGTTTTGCTGTGGTTGTGACAACCAGTGAGCTGCATTTGCTCAGTAGAGACTTCATATGCCATTTTCTGATGAGCTATGAGGCATATATCTGACCTAGGGATCTGTGTGAAACCCTGTGCCCTCTGAGAGTTAGCATCAAGAAGTCATACCTTCTCCCTTACGTCGATGCAGTCGAGTTAGCTGCTGCTAATCCATATGTATTGGCTCTTGCCTCGTTGCCTGGGCAGTGTATGTGCCGCCATATTTCCCTTTCCTTTCACATGCACAATTTCCGTATCACGTTCTTGGAGCACTCTCCAAATGTAGCAATCCGGAGTTGGTCCTTTAGTTTTGTGAAGTCATGACGATGGCTCATAATCTGTTAGGACTCTGGACTTCTCTTGAATAGGTAAGGCCTGACTGCCCATACAACTACATTACATTCTCTTTCTGTGACACAATTTTATTCAGTGTGGGAAGGGTTATCACTATTTTTAAACTGTAGCAGGATGCTTTTTATTGGCTTGGTCTGCTTTCATTTACACAACTCCCAGACCTGTATCGTTTGTGTGCAGAGTTCAGTCATCTTATCAAAGCTAGGACTGGCTTGAACTAGTTTCTCTAATGGAATTCTTTTCACTTTATGAAAACCTTCTTGACAGGCTGCAGTCCAAATTGCCTTGTCAGGTTGTCTCTTTTTGCAGAGGTTTGTAATTGTAGACACAATGTCACTGAAACCTTCCACAAACCAGCATTAATAATTTGCTAAACCTATAAGACTGAGCTTGCTTTTTGATTCAGAGTACAGGCCAGTTAACAGTAAACTCCACTTTTGAAGAATCCTGACAAATTTGTCCTTCTCCTACCCAGTAGTCTAAATAAGGGACTTTTGACCTTTCCATCTTACATTTTTTTCACTTCTGTTGTAAGACCAGCATCTTTGAGTCTCTTCAAGATAATTTCCACATCACCCTTATGATCTTGCAAGGAATGGCTAAATATTGTAAAATGGCTTGTGTGGGTATGAGCAAAGCGCTATAACCAACCAACATTTGATTAACGAGCCTCTGAAACATGGGTTCTGTATTAATTAACTTAAAAGGAAATTCTTTAAATGTACGAAGCTCGGAATTGGTTATGAAGCTGTGCTTTTGTGCTTCACTTTTTAAGTGGATTAGCCAATACTCTGTTCTTAAATCCAGAGTCCTTCGTAATTTTGCTCTGCCTATACTGTTCAGTATGGATATGTCTAGACTACATGCCTCTGCCAGCAGAGGCATGTAAATTAGACTACCCGACAGTCAGTGAAGCGGGGATTTAAATATACCCCGCTTCATTAAAAAAAAAATGGCCGCCGCGCTGTGCCGGTTCAGCTGATTGTCAGTGCAGCACAGCAGTCTAGACGCGGATTGCGACCGCTCCTGTAAACCTCGTTTCACAAGGCATAAGGGAGCGGTCGACAAAGGCGTTCCCTGTCGACCGATCCGCATCTTGACTGCTGCGCTGTGCCAACGATCAGCTGAGCCTGCACAGCGTGGCGGCCATTTTTATTTTAATGAAGCGGGGGATATTTAAATCCCCGTTTCACTGACTGTCGGGTAGTCTAATTTACATGCCTCTGTCAGCAAAGGCATGTAATCTAGACATACCCTATGTCATTGATTTTGGCCCTAGCATAAGCACCAGGACTATAACAGCTGGAGAAGTCAAGGGATTATTATTTGACTGTGTAACTATTCCCATGACCAGTATGCTTGCTTCCTCCTTGCAGATTTGCTCCTGCATTTGCCAGTTGTCTGAGGTGCTCTGCTGGAAACTTGCTGTGGTTTTACAGTGTTAATCTTATAGACTGTTTTGTGAGTCAGGAATGGCCTGCTGGAAAATACCTGTCAGCGACTTTGCAGCATGGCCATAATTTGTCTTGTTAGACAAACCCGTCCTATTAATCAGTGCTTTTTAGTCAGGTATCGCTGTGACATTCAGTCACCAAATCAGTAAGGGGAGCTGTCTCACAGTCCTCATCTGCACAGCAAATCTTATTTACCATGGCTTCATTGTTCTGATATGCTTTTAACCTGTTGGTTTGCACAGTTTGAGATGTAAGCCTGCTGCTGGGCCTTGATATATTAAAGGTAACTTAGTTAATTCTTTCCATTACCTCAGAAGGCTCTTCCTGTGAATAGTGCATTTTGTATTTCTATGCAAGGAGTCATACCCCGTACCAAATCACCCACATCAAATGATTGATCACAGGTAGTGAGCTTTCTGAGCTGCTTAGCCTTAATGCAGTAAGACCTCACTAATCCCCATCAGGGATTTTTAAATCCTTCCAGGACCTCGGCACATTCTCAGCCATTAGTTCCCCTTCTGCCTCAGTGCCATCCTCCCAGGAATCTCCGAGGAGATCCAGGGGACTTTTCGCGTGTCTTCCATACAGAAGGTCAAATGGGTCAAACCCTGTGAACTCTTAGGACACCTCTTGCTAAGCAAATATCAGCGTAACATTACATCCCAGTCACTTGTCCTCTTGTTTCATACATTCTCCTCATGGATTTTTAGGGCCCTATGAAACCTCTAAACCAAGGGTAGGGAACCTAAAGCCCCAGGGCTCAGGGCTCCTCCCTACTCAGCATTGGGGAGCCCATACTGGCACTCGAGCTCCCGCTACCCCCTGTCTGACTGATTTTTTTCTATGGGTCAGCAGCCCCCAACCCAAAAAAGATTCTCCACCTCTGCTGTAAACAAATCATTTATTTCCAGTACTTCTACTGCTTGAATCTTTGTGTTGTAAATAAACTTGATTTCACTAGAAATGTATGTAAGCGCTGTATGTCACATGGAGCAATGATCTGAGATTGAGCTGTTAAGATGAAGTGTATTGGTTTTTAGGAAGCAGTGAATCTGTGAATACTGTGAGCATTCAGTGGACCAGCAGCTGAATACTCCAAGGCAACTCGCAGAGAGCTTGTGGGCTAGGGTGTGCCAGTTTCTAACCTGTACATTGACAGCAAGACCTGCAAGTCCCAGAGAGCAATATTTGTGTTGCCTGTGGCCAGTGGAGTTGAGAAGCTAACCCCCGGGAGGCACAAAGAAAGCCCTAGGTAACTCCGAGGAAGCATCACAGTCACCCCGTATAGATTGTTCTTAATCTAAAGTGATTTGTGTACACGTTTATGTACATTAGATTAATATCCACAAACCTGGAACAGCCTCGAGGTGGAACAGTTCATGACTCGGATGATGTGGGACACAACTACTCCTGATAGAACACCTACTTTGAAGTAGGAATAAGAGCCTCCGGAAAAGGGCGCTTTTTCCGGAGGATCGGGGCCAGTCTAGACGCTCTTTTCCGGCTTTTTTAAAAGCCGGAAAAAAGCGGCGGACATTTTTATTTAAATGCCGCGGGGGATATTTAAATCCCCCGCGGATTTCCCTACGACGACTAGTGAAATTTACATGCCCCTTCCGGAAAAGGGGCCAGTGTAGACGTAGCCCATGTGTGTAATCAGAAAATCCATTGGGAGGGTTTTCTGTGAGTCAGGCAGGAACTATTACCTAACAGCTATCCTTTGTCTGGTACCCTCACCCCTGTGCATGAGGCAAATGCAACCACCAAATAAAATGTCATGAAGCATATTGGTTTATTTTGTTAATGGCCTGTGGGTGGGGGACCAGGAGAAGCATTGCAGCCATTATCAGGGGGAAGCATTGCAGCCATTATCAGGGGGAAGCATTGCAGCCATTATCAGGGAATATTTCAAATAATCTGCAGCTAAAATGCGCTTCTTCAATATGAGCAAGTACAGGGTGTGCAGTGGAAGAGTGTTGTGTTGTGCTGAAGAAGGTAGGTGCTAGAGAAATGTGATTAGAAACAGTTCAGTTTCTATGGTCACAGCAAATGTGAACATGCATGCAAGGCAGTGTGGGGAAGCAGCCAAACCAACACTTACATTTGCTTGCCTGGTAGCATAATCACACAAGAAATTAAAACTAGGAGTAATGTTCTTCAGGTAGGTGGAAATGTGGAGTAACTTAACGGTGAACTCTGCTTTTCTTCTACCACGTACTAGTCTGAGTTGCGGTTGTTGCCTAGCACATGGGCAGGTGGGATACAGGTTTTAGCAAGAGGTGAGTGAAACCTCTCTCCTCACAGACGTAACTTACTTGTTTAAAACTTGAGTTGTGCAAAGAAAGATAATTCTGTTTCACTGAGGCTCTACGAGGTGGGTGGAGAGTGTATTCATTTTCAGCCTCTACAGGCAGTCCCCGGGTTACATACAAGATAGGGACTGTAGGTTTGTACTTAAGTTGAATTTGTACTCAAGTCGGAACTGGCGTCCAGATTCAGCCACTGCTGAAACTGACCAGCAGCTGACTACAGGAAGCCCGAGGCAGAGTTTCTCTGTCCCGGGCTTCCTGGAATCAGCCGCTGATCAGTTTCAACTGCAGCTGAATCTGGATGCCTGGGACAGAGCAGCTGG